CCCAGCACATTCTTAAGCCAAACGTCGCAAAGCATTTTATGCACTCAATTTTACGAATTTTCTCCTTTGATATAAGTTTGAAATAATAAAAAATTTGTCAAAGACATGCCAAAATATATTATAACAATAAGTTTAAGTACAGCTATGTGAAGTGAGATGTGAAGTTCGTAAAAAAATGAAGATATTGTAAAGAATAGAAATGTATCTATGAGATCTTAAAACAGGAACTTCATGTGGCAAGTTTCATGACTCATCAGCTGTGTGAAAAAAAAATAAAAGTTGCCAATGTCGCACAGCAGAGGAGAAAACAGAAATAGCCAGACAGACAGGAAGAGTTGGGTGTTTAGTGAAATGGCAGCAATCGTTAGCCATGCTCTTGGCCAACAAACTCACAGACTACGTCAGCGGGCAGATGGCCAGAGGCAATTGTAATAAAAACGGCACAAAAAAAAAAACACACACACACACACAAACAAAAAAGCAACAGAAGAAAAATAAAGAAAGCAAGCAAAACAGCACTAAGCTAAATACATACATAAATTGATTTCATGACTCGTTGCCCGTCGCCCGAAATAGGGGCAGGTGCTGTGCTCAGGTAAGGCTCAAGAGTTGCTCTTGTGCTGGGCTGCGGGTACCTTCGAGTGGACTCCGTGTTGCGTCAAAAAATTCAAGTGTAAAGGCCCAAAACGAAAATCAACTGGCAAAAATATGTTTGGGAGTGTGCGCACTCCAGATACCCTGTCAAGTGCTCACAAGTGTTGGAAAATGATATAGATAAGCTTTACAGTTGACAAGTCGTATCATATATATAGCTCGCGAGTATTACCCGGCGTTGCCCGTGAAACATTTTGTGCTTAAAAATTTAGTACACACTCGTGGAAAATTGGAAGCTATTCATCTTGATAAAGAACCAAGTTTTGCAGCTGAAGAAAAAATGTTTGTTTAAGAGCTTTGAATATGTTTGCGAAACAAAAATGTTTCATAAAAACGATTTTCGCTACTTTTCCACACATGCGGGTGGAATTGCCCACAATTTCGTCTTACTCTTCATGTGAAAATAGCTACAGTGAAAATTGTTACGATTTGGTTTTTGCAATGATTCATTTTATATAGACTTTTACAACACTTGACCGCTAACACGCACTTAGCCAGTGTTGAAAAAGCTTTTACAAAGACAACTCAACTAGTAATTATGTAAAAAACAACTTAGCTAAGTTTATGAACAACTCTGCAAGACATTTTGCTCAAGTATAAAAACCTGATTCTATGCATAGGCAAAAAAAAAAAGCCAAACAGTGAATGGTGAGCAACAAGGCAGAACATAGAAGAAGAAAAAAACAAATACATTTACATATAAGCACAGGCGAAAGAAGAGGCAGAGAGCGAGAAAAGAGTCTCCGAGTTAAGAGCTTGACAAAGAGTTAAGCTCGACTAGCTTAACGCACATTTTGAGTAGAAACATTGAAGAAATTTTTTGAGAAATGCCAACATTTGTGCTCTCACAATCAGCCGAAATAAAATAATAATACAAAAAAAAGGCCCTCGACTAAATGCTTATCAATTTTTATTTGCTATCGCATGATTCATTCATTCATTGGGAATGTTAGCTTTTTTTTTTTTATGTGGAACAATAAGCTTTTAATAACTAATTAACACAAAATGTAAATAGTTTTCTCCGCACTTATCGCTGGATGTGTCAGTTTTTGATGAACTGATGACTCAACCCTATAAACTATTCGAAGCACCCGCCAAATGTGGGCGGAGTCCGAGTGTCCGAGTCACATTGGGGTCAGTTTATTTAGTTTATTTGGCTTATGCTGGCGCCGACAGGAAGTTGGCACGAAGTTTTTAGATTAATGAAAACGTGCATCAAAGCGAATCCCTAACCAAAAAAAAGATATCTTACAGAGAGAGCTGTGAAAAATGATGATGATGATGACTGTCGAAAAGTTTTGCAAGATCTATAAATATTAAATGAACGTCAGTTGATACTCGCAACTCTTGAGGAACAAAATGACTCGATAATATGAGATCATCTCGTCAAATTCTAACAGCAAATATATAAAAGTAATATATGTCGAAAGATAAATGGAGAACAAACTGTGCTAACTGTTGTGAGTGTGGGTTGAGCGTACAATGCATGACAAATCGACACTTGTTGAGAATATTAAAAAAAAAAATAAATAAACAAAAAAAAACCTTTCTTTATATTTTATAAGACAACAAGAAGCTGACTCAAAGCAGCTTTCATTTCCAGGGTATATTTATAATAATAATTTGCAACTCTCCTTTAAATTGCTTTTAAAGTCTTCCGATATTAATAGGATTTTGCAAAAATATGGGGAGCATAGTAAAAGTAATAAATATCGAGTTTGGGTAAGATATCTTAAAAAACAAAAAAGTTTTCCATACAACATACTTTCCGACTGATCGTTCCTATGGCAGCTATATGATATAGACGTCCGATATTGATAAGATTTTGCGTATATGTAAAAGGCATAGTAAAAGTAATAAATGCCAAGTTTGGGTAAGATATCTTGACAAACAAAAAACTTTCTCATACAACATACTATTCGACCGATAGTTCCTATGACAGCTATAGATATAGTTATCCGATCTAGCTGGGTTCAACATATGTGCTGCGAAGTTTTTATAAACGGAGATAAAGAGTAAGACGAACTCGGCTATTGATGTTGATCAAGAATATAAATATATATACTATATGGGGTGGAAGTTGTGTCCGAGACAAAAGTCTAAACACTTATAGCCATTGAGAATGCCTCAAAATTTCTTTCCATATATGTGTTATCCAGTTCCTAACTTCACCCAGATTATAAATATTCGAAATATATCTATTTAATTGCATTAGCTCTAGTTTCTGTTTGTTTGGAAACGTCTTAATGTATAGATAGTTCTTATCTTGTCCAGACTAACCGATAATAGCGTAAAATATTTATTGTTTTCAACTTTATCGCACATACTTAATGAAAGACTCGCCCAATCTACACTTCGTTTAGAAATACATTGATATGAATATAGATTTTGTGTACGCCTAATATGTTTTAAAATGACTCGTCGCATATATAATGACATTCATTTTAATTACATTCATTTTAATTACATTAATTTTAATAGTTTGCCAGTTGAGCATTTTCCCATCAATTGAATTGACTTACAATCTAATCATTGTGCGCATTAACTCTCACGAACCCAATTAACTCTTGCGCTCTATACTATATAATTGATATTCAATTTTCAGGCTCATATAAGTAGAACATTTAATAGATAATTATGGCATTAGCAATGCGCATTAGCCACAAACTAGGCGACAATTTCGCGCGCTCTAATAAAAGATAGACACAGAGCAATACCCTAGATGCATGGAATATGGGCTTGACGAGGCACTGCTGTTTTTTTTTTTACGGGCAAAACATTATATAGTAGAGAGATGGAAAAAGAAAAGAAAAGAAAAAAAAACAATTACTCACCTCTGTTGGAAAAATGACGCTTGGCAGCTGCAGGTGGAGAGAAGACGTAGGAGACGTTGGCCCTGAGGCTAAACACTGGGTTTATACGTCGAATTTATATATTATATATTTATTTTTCGTACGCGTTTTTGTTTATTTTGTATTATTTTTGCTGGTTTTTTGTTGCTGCTGTTGCTGTTGTTGTTGTTGTTGTTGTTGGGCTTGAGAAAACACATTGAATGCGACTTGATGCACGAAGTTGTTGCGTTTTGTGTTTTTGATAATTTGCTGTTGTTTTTTTTTTTTGTAAAGGTGTTGCTTGTTGTTGTTGTTGTTATTGCATAAACTCTCGTTTCAGGTGTGTTTAAGAAAAGAAAAACTTGCCTTAGAAATGAAGTTAGCTCTGCTCGTTGTTGTTTTTCTCTTGGAATTTTTGTTTGTTTTCGTTTCAAATACATTTCGCTACAAATATGTCTTGCTACTTGCTTGCTTTGATTCTATTGTGCATGAGTTTAAGTATTTTATACAAAAAAATAATAAAATGTTAATAATTTTTAGCATGCAGTTGTGGGTTAGTTTAAACAAAGATCCGTTTGTTGTAGTTGTTGTTGTTGTTGTTGTTAGTCATGTGTTTTGAGTTTTGCAGAAATAAAAGCGAAAAAAAAGAAGAGAAATAAACAAAAAAAGTGGGTTAATATTGCAGGTGTTTAGCTATATGAAAGGCGTGTGTGAAGGTGTGTGTGTGTGTGTGCGTGATCAGGGCAAAGAACTAAATCAAATTGATTGAGAAATTTTGAGTGCTAATAAACTTTTTGAGCATAAATAAACAATTTGAGTTGCCATTAAATTGTTTTCGCAATGCGGCAAAAAAAAAATTGTTTTTTTTTTTTAAATACAACGGAAAAAGGAAAAGCATAAAACAAAAAACAGAAAACAAACCCGTTTTTAATGGAGATAAATGTTGAACATTTATTTGCGCAACAAACTAAATAATCAACTTTAAAATAATAGTTAAACGTTTAATTGAAGTCCGGCAATATTGCAGTACGTGTCTGTCGCAGATTATTTCTATTCAAATATGCTTCCTCAACTGATAGATATATATATATATATATATATATATATATCCATAAAGTACAAACGATCTCTATGTATAGTTTGTGTAATGTGCATTCGATACATATGAACACGATTGGGTTAATAGCATTTCGTAAATAGTCACTATAGTTATATATATATAGTAATATATATGTACATATAGCATTAATTGTTTAATAAATATATATTCAAGAAGTTATACAGGGAGATTTTTGTTTACTGCGAGAATCTACAAAGAAAACGCAATTGAGATTTAGCTTCAAAATGCAAAATGACCGAAATTTTAAATTGTGAAAAAAAGAAACATTATAAATCAATAAAAATTAAAGATTTTTTTTTTTTTTTTGCTTTGCATTTTTAACAATATTTTCTTTACTATATATATATATTATTAATTGCAATTTTGATCATATATTTGCATGTCTATATGTTTTATTTTTCTTTAGACTCTATTAATTGCTTCTCGTTTGGTTTGTTCGGTTTTGTGTTTAAATCGGCTTCTAATATATACATATACATATTATATATATATATTATTGTGTGTGTGTGTGTGTGTTGAGCATAAGGATATACATATCCTGCGCCCAATAACAACAAATATGCGCACTTTTGCCGCTAGACTCAAGACTTTTCTAAACTAATACAAATTAGCTATATAATGCGTTCTCATATATATATATATATGTATATATGTATATATTGTTTATCTCTTGTTAATTATAGAGCCTAAATTATCAAGTGTGTGTGTGTGTGTGTGGGTGTGTAGCTCACTGGCAAGGGTCGCTTAAACTTTGTATTGAATCATTTCTGGGTGGGTTGCACAACATCCTAAACAGACATCGAGTGTGTGTGTGTGTGTGTGTGTATCTATGTGTGTCTAAGTGTATGTGTGTGTGTGTGTGTGTGTGTGTTTAAGTAATTGCATTTACATGAAATAACTGCTAACATAGGCAGCCGCTAAGATACCCAAGACGGTCAAACAGATGAGTATCATGATCTTCTTTCGTCGCGCTTTGCTTTGATATTTGAGCGCCTTTTTGGTATCCTGAGTTGCGGTCTGGACATAGTCCATGGCGTGCTCCACATGATACTCGATGCGATCGATCATCTCGCCTTGGGACTCGACCAGCATGGCCATGTCCATGAACATGTCGTGCAGCTCCTTGATGGACGTCTCCAGTTTCATGATGTCCGCATGCCGTGCCTCAATGTCGGCCAGCGTTTGCTTGGCCTGCTGCGTTTCCATGATGATGCCCTGGGTGAAGACGGCGGAATTGCCCTGCTCGAGCATATCCTCGAGCTCCTCGTTGGTGGTCGCACGACCTGTGATCTCCAGCTGACGCTGTATTCTGCCCTTGCAGCGCTCCCGATAATCGGTCTGGGTGCGATTATATTCGGTCATGACCTCAACAAATTTACGGGACAATGTCGAATGTTGCGTTTTGCGTATACGCAAATCGGCCGATGATTTATTCTGTTGCTCCTCCTGCTCAATGTTCTGTTCGATGCCCTTGAGTTTGCCGCGCACACGATTCGCGTTCTTCTTGATATCGGCCATTAGATCCTCCAGTTCCTGTTTGGTCTTCTCATCGGATTGTGGTGCCGACAATATGGCCGAATGTTTCTTTTTCACCTCCTCAACATTGTCCTGGACCTTGTCAATCATGCCGCGTATCTCCTCCACCTGGGCAAAGAAATCATCCATATACGAATCATGGCCATCCACATTGACGGCCACATCCTCCGACTCCTCATCGTCCGACTGCGCGGCATGCAAGGCGGCCAATCTGTCTTTCGTCATGCTGTCAACTAGTTGATTTTTACCGTTACTTTTATTTCTGTTATTCTTTGCGCTTTGTTGTACTCTTTAATTCGTTGATAATTATTATGTTTTTTTAATTTTTTTTTTTAATAATGGCAGATTGATTATTTCGTATGCAGTTGCAGTTGCATTTACAGTTTCGTGCGAGCTTTTTACGTAAGCTCTGGCTTTGCGTTTGTTGTTGTTGTTGTTGTTGTTGCTGTTTCGTTTAGCAGTTAACTGTTAACTTTTGCAGCGTTTGTTGCTTAACTTGTTTGCACGCTTTTGCTATTGCTTTATTTTTTGTATATTTTCTGCTGCTTACACTCTCGACTATTGATTTTTCGTTGGTTTTTGTGACCGCTAAATGGTTTTTTCGCATGCCCTAAATAAATACGACTTCAGCTAAACACTTGGCCTTAGTTTTTGTTTGTTGCTGCTTCTTCTTGTTTTACACGCAACTCACTTCGCTTACACACATACATGCATACATACATATATATATATATATATATAAATATATTCTTAAATATGTACAAGAATTCTAGCTCGCTTTTCCTTTTAGCCTTTTTTTTCGTTAACGGCGCGCGTGCTTTGCGCTCAAGAGCGAAGAGCGAAGAGCGCGCAAAGAGAGCGACGCAGCGAGCACCTCAATGCCAGGCAGCTAAGTCAAGCAACAATAAAAGCGTTAAATTATGACTCACGGCGATTGCTTAAAAAACAGCAACAAGAAATTGCTTTTATATATATGTATTATTTTTTTTTTTTTTTTTTGCTGCTGCTGCCTGTGCACAGATAAATTTTAACAATGCGTAGGATTTATGCCCGAACAGCTTTTTAGCACACACTTTTTTTTGCTTGTTGTTTTATTTATTTATATTTGTTGCTTATTTTTTTTTTTGCTTTTCTCTTTATTTTGGGCTGTCGATCGCCGTTGCATTTGCGCACGCATTCGCATTCACATTCACAATCACTTAAAGCGCGCGGGTGGGCGGGGCAGGCAGGGTGTGCGTCGTTTTCGTTTTCGGCATCGGTTTCGGTTTCGGTTTTAGTTTCGCCTCGATCGATCGCGCTGCAGTTAACCTATTCGCTTTTGGCTATGTTCTCACGAATCCGCAATTGCAGTGCGTTTGCAGCTGCTTACCTCTCATTTGCACACATTTGGAGACAATGCGTGCTTGTTTTAAACGAATTTCGGTTGAGGTTGACTTCGTACGCGAAACACGTACGAAAATGGGCAAAAAAAAAAATCGATTTCTGCGCAGGGCTCCAACGGCGGCGGCTCTCTTCTTCGACCGCTTAGGGTACTGTGACGTGATGGTTGCTTCTGGCAACGAAAACACGCGCTAGCGGCAAACGGAAGGGGGGGTGAGGCAGGGCTGTACGGTGGGCGTTTTTTCTCTGCGTTCCGTTTTGTTTTATTTTGCGTGCGAGCGTGTCTATGTGTCGTTTGATTGTATTTGTGTATGTGTTTGCATGTGTGAGTGATTTAGTCGGCGGGCACTTCACACATTCGCTTTGGTTTTCTCGCCGCTAGTGCTGTGGGTGGCAAGCATCCATTTACACACACACACACTCTCTCTCTCTCCCTCTCTCTGTGTCTGTCGCTCTTTCTCTTTGCCTTTTTCGTTTTCTCCCTGCTGATTTTTGTTACTTTGTTGTAGTATGTCGTTGTCGCCTTTTGTTTTACGCGCACGTCGCTAAAAAGCACACTCGACGCGTTGCTGGCTCTCGTCAATCTGAAACACGCGTCGCCTTCCGGTGCAAGCAAGACCGTTGCGACGGCGATGGTTTGCTCTGCTGTTTTTTTAATGTGGATTATGTGCTGAGTGCGATTGCGCTCAGTCTCACAATTGGGAGAATTCGCTCGATTTACTATTGCCTTGGGCTGTAGTATTCGGCGTTTGTTGATAGCTTCTCTCTTGCTCTATCTGTTTACTGACATGGGACACACAAAACGCAGATGCGGCAAAGTTTTCATTGCTATCATGCTATTTTGTGAAGTATTTATTCAGACATTCACTTTTCGTTGAAATTGTAATTGTTTTAACGCCAACCTTGATTGCACAGTTACGAGACTGTTGCAAAATATAAAAGTTTGTGGTAATTTTTTTTTTCGTTTTCTTTTGCTACTGGTTTTTTGTTTTCACTTTTGTTGCGACACGACGCCTAAAAAAATACCAACAGTGTTAGCAGAAATGCACCAAATAATACCGAAAGCACTGACGTTACGTCAGCACTGAAATGCCGCTACAATACAACAACAACAACCAGCAGCGACCAGCATTCGGTTTGTTTGTGGAACTTAATTTCTGCACGGTTCACTTCGCACGCTCATTCGTGGATGAACGGCGAGAGCAATTTTATGAATGGAAAGCCGGCACTTGCAATTAATGCGGTTAAAAACTGCAGCTGAAAGAGAGCTATAACATTTGTGCAAACAATGAAGCACGTTTTTGTATATTGCAGAACCAAACAGACGGCCATACAAATGTAAACAAATGCCAACGCATGTTAATAAAAATAAAAACACAATTCTGTATCGATAGCTCATCGATAAATGTGCACACTGCGACGTTTCGCAGCACTGACACGCGCGCCAAATTCGCTCGTCGTTTAAATATTGCTTTCAGGCATTCAGTTAAATGAATGAAGTTTTTGTTGTAAGTAAATACAAGTTTCGCACTTACCGGATACTTTGTTTGCAGCACAATGCCGCAGATTTCATCGCCAACCAGAAATTGCTCACCCAGCATGGCCATGCAGACGTTCTCCCAGGCGCGCTCAATTTTATTCTTTCGCAAACGTATGACCCACTGGCCGCCTTTACTATTCGCCGGATCCTCCCACATCGGCTTGATGCCCTGTTTGAAGAGACTCAACTCCCGATAGGGCTTCAGCGCCGTCGGCCGTATCAGATGCGAGTAGAGTGACCACCATTGCTGCACGCTGGCACAGCGCCCGACCACATGCAGCGATTTGCTATAGTCGGTGGCCGCTCGTTGTGTGCCCTTCCGGGAGAACCAGAGGCAGTATGTGTGCTGCAGGCGGTTCTCATTGGGCCCCACCTCCAGTGGGGGCAATTTGTCAACATCTATTTCATTTTCCACATCGCTGTCATCGCTATCGACAATATCTGGCCAGATTTTCCTGCAACGCAATGGTGATGGCATAACACGTTTGATAAGTATGTCGTATCAGACTATTCAAATTAGTCCCAGTCAAAACTTGAAACTAAAATAAGCCCAACAACTATGACAGTTCCCTAGACTAAAATACAAATATACAGCTCCTATATACATATTTATATATATATATATATATATATATATATATATACGGCTTCACGTAACGCAACATGAAGCTGTCGATCCGCACGCTGGACCAGAAGACAATCTCCCTAGAGCTGCAGGATGACAAACAGAAGGTAATCCAGCTGAAGCAACGGCTGGTTCAGTTGCCGGAGATAACACAGCCGGTGGAGAGCTTGCAGCTGATCTACGGCGGACGCATTATGCAGGACGATCTGCCGCTGGCCGACTACAACATTAAGGAGGACAGGTTCATAGTGCTAATGACTAAAAGGAGTGCCAACGTGCAAGAGCCGGAGTCGGAGCCAAGGCAGGAGCACCATCCAGAGCAGATAGTGCAGCCAGCGGAGCCGCCGCGACCCTCCGTTACGCCCGATGAGCAGCGCGTGCGCGACCTAATGCTCATGGGCTACGAGGAGCAGGATGTGCGTGCCGCTTTGAGCGCCAGCTTCAATCATCCGGAACGCGCCATCGAGTACCTAATCACGGGCATACCCAGCAGCCATGTAACAGCAATGAACGGAACAACTACAACCTCCAGCCCGGCGGAGTCGAGCGTGATTAGCGAGACAGCCGAGCATCTCAATTATTTGGCAACCGATCCGCGTTTTGCGCATGTGCGCGATTTGATACGCCAGAATCCGGAACTGCTGGAGCTGGTGCTGACGCATCTGCGGGAGAGCGATCCGGCCGCCTTTGAGGCCATACGCAGCAATCAGGAGGAGTTCATATCCATGCTGAACGAGCCGACGGCCCACTTGACGGGCTCGCTCAGCCATGAGGAGGAAGCAGCCGTGGAGCGACTGATGGCGCTGGGCTTTGATCGTGACGTGGTTCTGCCCATTTATCTGGCTTGCGACAAGAACGAGGAGCTCACTGCCGACATACTCTTCCGGCAGACCGACGAGGAGGACAACTAGCTTTTGGGCAATTGCTTTTGGTTGTTTTGGGTTGCAAAAAGTTTATTAACCATTTGGATGACAAGCACAGGGACAGAACTGGTTCGAACCTAGGATTTCAATTTGTGTTTTCTTTATATTCGAACGGGATGTAAGTCCAGTTGGTTTCAAAAATAGCCCCCCCCCCCAATCGTAACGTATTTTCCAACCTTTTCTAACACTTTTTTTTTTTTCAATCTAATGTTATCGGGCAGCAGGACCTAGGCATGGCTATGAAATTAATAATTGTTATCCTACTTGATTGAAATTAAATTCATAATTGAATTCTTTCACTTAAAAGAATAGCCTGGCTAAAATGTGCAGCAACGGGCCTGGTCAAAGCTAAGCTTAAAGGCAGGCAAGGGAACCTAGCTGTTTTTTTTTTGGGGGGGATTTGCAGCCATGATTAGAACATAACCTAACAAACGCTGGCGAAGATGTTGCCCCAAATTGGTTTCCACTTACGATTCGTATTGTTTGCTAGCGACCTTCTCCATGCTAATGCTGGGTTGCCTCAACTGCGCCGTTTCCCTGGACAACGTCTTAATGTTTGTTATTGTTTTGTTGTTGCCTCTCGCTGATTTGCCGCGCCGACTGTTGCTGCCGTTGCTTCTACTTCTACTTTTGTTTCTCTTGTTGTTGTTGTTGTTGTTTTTGTTGGATTTGCGGCTAGCTGGCCTTTGGCGCTGGTTGCGTAGAATTATTTGTTGTACTTTGTTGGCGTGCACGTTGCACAGTTTTTTTTTTTTTGCCCGTTTGTTGTTGTACTTGTCTGGTTGCCAAATCGCAATATGTTGTTGTTGTTGTTGCTGTTGTTGTAGTTCTTTTAAATTCAGCTCCTTTTGGTTTTGCGTGGTCGTTGCGTTTGTTTGTGGGTGTGCGTGCGTGTGTGTGTGCTGTCCAGAACACGAATTTGTCGCGTTTGGCTAATTGGCCGCCGTTTGAAGCGTCTGTGGAGCTTGCTCAGTCGCGTGGCCTGTTGTTGTCGTTGAATGCGTCCAGTTGGTAAATAGTTGACAAGATGTTCGGCTCTTTTTTGATTTTAATGGTTTTTATCGGCGTGCTACGTAAATAATTTAGTGCTGTAAAATGTGTTTGAATCGACGGCGTTTTGCAACACCAGCACGTTTCTCGGGGCGAATGGCTTTAAGTTCGACAATTATTGGCTGCGGTATAGATAATTCAATAAAACATAGCTTTTGCCTCACTTTTTAATTCAACATTTCATTTCATGTGTATTTTAATTGATGTTTTTTATTTGTTTTCTCTCAAATTATCGATAGAAAATCAGCTGTTCCATACAAAATCAAAACACAAGCGAAGAGTGACCAGCTTATTTTTGAAAAATATTCCCGAAAACTAGTTTCTTGTTAATTGTGCTTATGGCAGTGGAATGTATTCTTCATAATAAAGTGGCAATTTGAAAAAACAATAAACGACTGCAATGTGAATTGTATTTGATTGGAAAACAAACTAAAATCTTTATCAATTACAGTTTTTTACATCGCTGCCTCCTTATTAAGTTAATAGATATTTGGCAGGGGTTGGTTTTTTGATATTGTTAAAAACTGTGTATATATAGCTTATTGCTATTGTAAAATTAAGTTACAAGCATTAAATTACATGTTTTTCAAAACTTGCAGTCAGTTATAGACAACTTTAGTTTTGACTAACAAGAAAATAAAGTAAATTCAGCTAACAGCTGTTTTTCCAGATTTAGAAAGTGTTAACAACAGAATGTCAGTCACATGTTAAGTTAATGTGCTTTATGCTAAACAACAGTCAACAGTTTTTGATTTTTATTGTCGTTTGGTAAACAATTGAGCAATATGGGCAAAAGTGACAAAAAGTCAAAGAAAAAGCATAAGAGTAAGCGTAAAGAGCACAAGGAAAAGCACAAGGACAAAGCCAAGAAGTCAAAGAGGCAAGAGAAAAAGGACACGCCACCGCCAAAGATTGAGACCCCGTTGGTTGCGGCAGCCGACAGCGGCAGCGAGGAGGACTTCGCCATACCAATAGGTCGGTCAGGGTCATCTTTGTGCTTCACACAACAGCTACTCAAATATGTTTACACCTTGCACACATTTAAGCGCTGATGAACAGCAAATCGCACGCCCCGGAAACGCCGGAGGAGTACCAGCGCCGGCAGAGCCAAATACGCCGTGAGGTGGACCCCGTGACGGGCCGGACGCGCCTCATCAAAGGCGACAGCGAGATACTCGAGGAAATCGTGAGTAAACAGCGGCATTGCGATATCAACAGGAAGGCCACCAGCGGCGATGGCGACTACTTCGAGGCGCAATCCTTTGCAGCAGCCGCCGCCAAGCGCCGCAAGCCAAAGTAAACATGTTCTCATTAAATACAATAGGTATATTTAATAATTAATAACTGTTAATCTAAATAAACAATTGTGCAGCATTGCAAAAAACGCTAGCTTAAGCTATATATACATAGATAGACACATGAATAGAATGAATAATTAGTTAGTCCGGCCGATTATCGGCCTAGTAGAGCTGATGGAAATAGGTTGTGCTGCCATCCTGCCAGGCGGGATCGTCGCTAACCTTGGCGCGGCACATGGGACACGTTTGCTCACGCTTGAACCAGGTCTGGACGCACTCATCACAGAATATATGACCGCACTCCAGTATAATTGGCGAGTTGTACGCATCATGGCAAATGGGACACACGGAGCCGGCGGCATCTAGTTCGTCCTTTGTGGGCGGCCGCTCCGAGTCCTAACGAAAAAAAGTTGACAGACATTAAATAAAAGATTATTTGCTTAAATATGCTATAAATGATGTTGAAGATTAACAAAAATTGTTAAAACAAAATGAAAATCGAGTGGAAGAGCATATATTTATATATTTTACATTTCCCCAGTTAAAGCTGGGATATCAAAATCCAAAAAAAGGAAGAAGAAACTTTGATCTTTAAGGAACTTATCTTTTTTTTATGATAATGCCCTCTAAGATATTTAAAAATAATGTTGCATTCGCTTAAATAGTTTACAAAAACATTGCTTTATACAATTTCCACGCATTTTCCACCCTTGTTTGCGGTTTACATTTAAAGCTAAAGTCTTTGTTTTTTTTTTTTTTTTGCTACTTACAATATTGCGTCGAAATGTTGAAATGGCCTTCTTTAGGGACTTGCCCCGCTCCAGCAGCTCAAAGATTTTCGCACCAATATACAGGGACGAGAACAGGCCGCCCGAGATGACCTCAAGGCCCGAGTAGGACTCGTACAGAAACAGGAACCACTGTGTGATTGGAGCCAGTGCGCGATAGAATTGCGATATGTATTCGACCAAGACATAAAGACGAGCCTGCAATAGATAAATGTGGACTTCAGTTGGGGAATTTAGGGTGCAATATCATATGCAAAGCTCTTCATGGAATTTCATTTGAGATGTGACGGTTTAGTTCCGACTTTTGTTACCTTATTGAATAGATTTGAAGCTCCGTCCCAAATTAAATTAAATTAAATTGTTCAGAGTCGGGAAATGTATATATATGCTTATAAGGAAAAGGATTAGGCTTAAGGATTGATGGCAGGCCTTCATTCATTTTACTTACGCGCACTTTCAGTCGTATCACATGCATGGGCAACAGGGTTATGCAGATCTTGATGAGTATGGTGAGCAGCTTGAGCAGCAGATCGCTGATGGCCACATAGTAGAGGAGCATGCCCAGCGGAATGACCTTTGGCACAGTTGTATCGTTGGCCGAGCTCTTGGCCAGCTCGGCGCTCCACTGGAACGTGGTCGAGGGGCTGTCGTTGAGTCCATTCGTGTGGCCGTTGTCCGTTTTGTAGTGCGTAGTGGAGACATCGACCGTTTGATAGATCTTGGGCGGTGGCACAATCAAGCCCAGGGGATCCGGCGGCGCTGTGGCCAAGTACATGCGCAGGGTAACCACGACGATCACCACGCCGGCATCACGCAGCAGCACCACATAGTTCTTCTGGGCCAGCCGCGAGACTTGATGCCGCAACGAACGATTCACATTGTACATGATGGTCTGCAGCAGCAGGAGATCGAGTATGCCCAGCAGATGATCGTGCACGAACTTGATCAGCAGTATGCAAATGATGGGCAAATAGCGCACAAAGTGGCTCAGCACCTGCACCACCATATCCGTGATGATGTGATCATCGTCTGCGTTATTCTCGTGCGCCGCCTGATGGCCAATATTGGCATTCGGGCTGCTGTCACCATCGGACGCTGCGGCAGCGGCATTTGCAGCGCCGCCAGCAACAGTGACTGCATCCGGATGTGCCGCATCGTAAGCAGGAGGATTTATGCACGCCGCTGCCGGTGTTGTCAGGCCAATCACGCTGGCATTGTGCCGACCGCTGAGGCTGTGGCGCGCCTGTTGCATTTCGCCCTCACGCAGGGAGATGCTGCGGCCCATGCCGGCGCTGCTGTAACCGCCCATGCGCGAGGGTATCGACGCGCTGGTGCTGGCCTCCGGTTCGTTTTGGCTCGCTAGCTGATTCTGGTTGATCAATATGTGTGTATTGTCGCCGGGCACAGAGGCAGCGGCGGCGGCGGCGGCGGCTGCCGCTGCTGGTGGCACCACATTGCCAGCTGTTGGCTGGTAGCGAAAATTGGAATGTGCTATAAAGGAGCGCAGCGCCTCGGTCGAGGGTGCCGTCGACAGCGAGAACATCTCGTTCAGATTGACACGCCAGAAGCCCAATTGCCGCACATTCCCTGCCGACGAGACGGCCGCCTGTGCCGGCGGGTCCTCCAAGCTGCCGCTGTTGGCACCCACACTGCGGGACTGCTGCAAGCGGCGATTCATCTGTGTGGTCACACGCACCGGCGTGCTGCTGATCGGCGTAAAGGAGCGCTGTCGGGCCAGGAGCGTGGACAGAATGTTGCTGCCAGCGGGACGGCCGCCACCAATGCTGCTGCTGCGCGCTGGCTGCGTGTTGGCGTGCTCCAGATTAATGCTTGTGCTGGTATTTGGTCCGGTTAAGGGCTGTGCCGCGGTCGCTAGCGACAAGGACGTCGTCGGCGCTGGCAGCAGGTAATCGTGCTCAGCCGTCGTTGACTCATTGTCGTCGCCGTCGCTGTCAATGGGTATGGCTACGCTGGCAGCGCTTCTGTCTCCTGGCTGGGCACGGCGCGAAGCAGCAGGATCGTTTGGTCCGTTGTTCATTGCGTGGTAAAAAAAAAAAAACGGCAACCCGATTTCTCAACTTATTTACTTAGCAAAATATGTATTTTTTTTTGTTTTGTGCGTACGCGAGCCTATTTCTCTGCCAGTCAGCTGTTAACGCGGCCATTCACGCGTCAACGTTGCCATTCGCGGCAACAGAGTGACCGTTGCAAATATTTTTGAATGCTAATTAGCAGAAAATTTGCAAGCACTTAGGAATATTGTTAAATATTATATTTAATTGTTGTATATAGCGTGTTGCAAGTCTGATGTCAGCTAAGTCTGTAAACATATAACATTGGCGATTTAAATAATGAGCTGAATGTATTACAAAATAGGGGTTTATTTGCGTGTTGCACACCTCATTTGCATGGCTGGGTCTGATAAGAATAATGCAAATGGCGCGGTTAACCGCAATTAAGC